GAGTCAAAACAAAGACTGTGACAGCTTTAAGATAACGACAAAGGCAGCTGCAGGCAACCATTAATCTCGCTAAAGGATAACTATCATTCTTTCTCAACTTAGTGGGTTCTGCCTTTTGAGGTTTGGATTAAACAAACTAAGAAGAAGAATTGTTTATAGTAACTGCTGCAATTAAAATGAAAACCCAATTTATCATTCAACCCTACTGCATACATCAAAGGCTTTTTTCTGTTTAAAAGCCACAATTGTTGATCAGATATGAGTCTTCAGCTTCAAACAACACACTAACCCACCTGCTGTCACCCAAGGAGTATGTAATTAAAATGTATGTTAAGCTGCTAAACAAACAAGTGACAAAATACATGTATTAGTAACATGCTGGAGCGCCATGCGGAGCACCTAGATTCTGCCAACTCACTCGTGCTCTGAGTCCCAAGACGAGTTCAGCGCGCTGCCTCGTAGAGAGAAGCTGAGGAACAATTTCTGTGACCATAAACACAAACTCCTCAAGCAGCCCATAGTCTGACACAACCTTCTGCTCCACAGTCTGCCAGATGGCTGCAGAAACCAGCCGAATCGGTGAGACCAGGAGCCGCAAAGCAGAGAGGGGAAGAGAGGGGCCTGCAAGGAAAAAGGCATTTTTTTAAAAAAAGTGCTTGAAAGGCAATACGCAGTGAGAGTGAAGACAGGCCAACAACACAGACTTTCCCATTTAAGTTATCAATGGAGTGATGGCCACAAACTAAATTCCCTTTATTTAGTCACCGTCTTTATATTGGTTCCAAAAGAGAACGGAGATTCATGCATAGTAGACCAAGATCAAAAGTTTTTCACACAAAAAACCCATCACGAACTTACCAGCAGGATTAAAATAAAATGTTTTATTTTAGCTCGAATGGCCATTATTACCGATAACAAAACTAAGGTTTCACGTAACATTAAAGCGGAGTTATTCTTCAAAGAAAAACACAAATAAAAAGAAAAGCAACAACATAAAACGCTTAAATGCCGAGCTCCGGATAAAGCGGATGTGCCTGCTACTTTCATTTCCGTAATCTACTATTGAACCACTGTTACATGCCAATTTGAATGTTTAACAGTATAACTGCTTGCATACGTTGCTAATATGTTTGCATATCCCCTTCCCCTCCCACCCAAAACCCCCAAAGCAAATACATGAATCAGAGATTTACTCAAAACAGGCGGATTCACTTCAACGAGTGAATTGCTATCAATGACTTTTCCTAGCCTAGCCTAGCATTATCTAAGCACTATGGATAACTAATACTCACAAACGCTGAGTTAAACAATTAAGTCCAGCAACGTGTTTCCAGGCTAGTAAAAAGTAGAAGCAGTTTGTATTTTTTTATACACAACTCTGTAGTAAAATAATAATATAATAATAACAACCGCTACGGCTTTAGCAATGCTATTCCCGCGCGCGGGCTAGATTGCGGCCTAGCCAAACAAAATTGTATACAAGCATTTAAACTCACCAGGTAACTCGGAGACACCTCCGTCCATGCTGCGAGCTGTCTGCAGTTACATTACAATCAGAGAACATGTAATACTGTGACCGAAGTCAAAGTAAAGGTTTTAAATGGGTTGGAAGCCAGAAAGCGAAGTCACACAACTGATCTTTGTGCGTCAACTGTTGCCTTTCGTTCCATCTACAATAATTGTCCGACAACGGGAAATAGTCCTGTTATTCGTTCCGCATCGCGTTTTTTTTTTTTTTTACATTTTATTTTACTGTGCTTTTGGCCTTTCGATCTCCACTCCCCTTTGTTTCTGTATGGCTAATAAAATTGCGAAATAGGTGTAGGAGCAACTTTGGTATGGCCATGTTTAATTCCTTAACAAAGCGTGAACTAAGCAAGCTTTCCACTAATTTATTTTAGTAGTCTTCAGGAATGGTTCTCCAGGCTTCTTGAAGAACATTCTAAAGCTCTTCTTTGGATGCTAGCTGCGTTTTCTTCTGTTCTCTGTAAAGGTGATCCCACATCTTCAATAATGGGATCAGGGGTCTAGGAATGCAAATCCATGATTCAGAGTGTCCATGTGTAGTGTGTGTGTGTGTGTGTATTTGTGACAGTGATCTGACAGTAGTTTTCTGCATTTAGAATTCCATCAATTTTATCAAGATCTCCAACACTACTGGGTGCAATGCCACCCCTAACCAGGACAGAGCTACCTTAAGTATTACAGAGGGCATTAGACATTAACTGTTGTACCTCTCTCCTGACTTTTACAAATTAATGACAGTTTGGACCAAAAGTTTAAAATTTTGATCACTCCATATGGTCTGATACCTTAGCCTTTCCTCCCTGTTTACCTACCGAAGAAGCATAGAATTCACATTATTTTATGTACTAAATTAAATGCATTATGGATGTCTAAATTAGTGAAAAATGTTGGCTCAATGAAAAGGTTAAAAAAAAAGATGAGGCTAATTGAAAGGGATACTTAGTTTTTTATAGTTATCTGATTAAGTCCTCAGTATACACACTGTTTAAACATCGTGTTAAGAGTTTAGAAAATAGAAAGAAAGAGAAATGACCCAAGCCTGCCCTGATCCTAATATTAGCTGAAAGAAGAAGAGGCAAGCACATTATTATCAACTTGCTCTTCACTATAACACTTTGTACCGTTGTCTTTCCTTCCTTCTTTTATTTCTACACTAAAGAGTTTCTTCCTCTTAATAAAAAAATCATGCAATCACTTTCTCATGTACATTAAAGTAGTTTATTGTAATCTTGGGATTTACCAATTTTCAAATACAAAAAAACAAAAACAAAAACATGAGCAAAGTCCCACAAAATTAGATGAATGAAAGAAAGATCACTATTTTAAGTGAAAGCTTCACCATTTTAATTTCTTGATAGAAAACAGATGAAAATGATCAAAACACATTTCTGACATTTTCCACAGAAGCTGGATGCTGCTCACTTTTCTTCTTCGTGCCTAAAACACATTATACACAACATGAAAAAGAACAAAACATATATGATGTAAAATCAAACAAACTAAATAGTTAAAAAAAATTACACTGCTAAATACAAAGTACACATGAAACAAATATGGTCATTCTTCATATGAATTGAAGTTGGGAGAAGACACAACGATCTTTTATACACCGAGCTGAACTCTTTCACCTCAAGTATGTGTCCTGCATTTTTATTGTGTTTACAGTGTTTTTATTTTCATTGTACTGTCAGCTGCTGACTTAGACAACAGTCGTCGCAGCCTGTGCCCCACACAGAGTACATTTAACTGTGGGACTGTAAGTATTTTACATGCTGGAACCACTACATTTTCAGTTTCATTGTAGACTATTTGAATCTGTGTGATCCTCTTTCTGTGTAGCTGAAAGCAGACATTTGTTTAGGTATCTTTGTGAGGTAATTCACTGGCATCAGTGTATTCACACACTTTTTACCTGAGGTTTAACCATCTAAGTGCCTAACTCTAACCTAAAACGTACTGCTAACTTTACCCCTGAACAACCATTTGGAGGGTCTCTCTCTCTCTCTCTCTCTCTTTTTTGTCCAGTTGGTTGGTTTCCTGTGGAAATGACCTCTGTCATCACTCACTCGTGGTAGACAAGTGGTTCAAATGAAAACATACATACTTTAAATAGTAAATAGGGAATGATTTTGCAACATCTGCTCCTTGCTGCCCATTAGACAGAATTCAGATTCAATGCGCATTCACACCAAGAAGCTACTTTCCTTAACCAATCAAGCATTCCTGTGTCACGTAGTTAATGTGTAACAAATGTATGTAGAAGTCTTTTGTGCCTGAACATGCTGTAGGCCTTTAGGAAGGCCTTGCCGCAGATATGGCAAACAAATGGTTTTTCTCCCGAATGTATTCTAGCATGTACATTGAGATACCACATTTTTACAAACCCCTTTCCACAGATGTCACATTTATACGGTCTTTCTGTGGTATGGTGCATGAGAATGTGTTTCTTAACCTCCGAGGTTGATCTGTAGTACTTTTCGCATTCAGGCACGGTGCATTTGAAAGGTCTTTCTCCAGTGTGGATTAATTTATGCCTTTTCATCGTCGATGCCGAAAGCATCTTCCCGCAGGTCGGACATGGATTGCGGAACAACTCGTGTAAGTGTTTGCTCCTCTGGTGCTTTTTCAGCGCTCCTTTCTCTTTAAAGGACTTCTCGCACTGAGAGCAAGAGTGCTTCTTCTCATTGCGAGACTCGCTGTGGATGAAGTGCAGGTGGCGCAACATGTTGGACTTTTGGGCGAACGTCTTGCCGCACTCTGCACACAGATAGGGCTTCTCTCTGGTGTGGACCCTCTCGTGGTACATGAGCTCAGAATCACATTTGAATCTCAGGCTGCACTGAGAACACCGGAACGGCAGGTGGCCCGTGTGGTGCCATTCATGTATGATTAAAAATCGCAGCCTGGGGAGAGTTTTGGGGCAATGGCTGCATTTGAATGGTCTGCTGAGTTTATGGGTGTTTTCGTAATGTTTGAGTAAGGGCTTGAAAAGACTGAAAGACTTGTCGCAGCGGTTGCACTGAAACGGAGTGTGTGAAACTTTGTGCCTTGCCAGCGTCGCAGCATCTCGAAGGACCTTTCTGCATACGTTGCAGTAGAGCTCGTTGTGGGTCAGCGTATGCTTTTGCAGAGCAACTTTGTACTTGAACGCCTCTTGGCATATGTCACATTTGTAAAGATTCTTGACTTCATCTGGATTCCCTGGATCTACATGATGCTGAGCATATTCATAACAAGTCTTATTCAAGTGCTTCTTCAGAGAGGATATGAGTTTAAACCTGCTGTCGCATCGAGGGCACGCGTAGTCATTGGTGGGAAAGTGGGTTTTCATGTGAATTCTCAGAGTTGTGTTGACATGCTCTTTGCAGATAAAGCACTGGATTAAACGAGTGTGTTTGGTAGAGCTATGCTTTATGCCAGCAGTGCCCCGATTTCTGCTAGAATCTGACACATGTTTAGGACCCAGGAACGAAGGGTCCTCGTCTGAGCTGCAACAAACTGAACCATCTTCAGGGAAACTGTTAACAGGACTCACAACTGAAGACTCGTCGTCTGAGTAGTGAGACCATGAATCAGTTACACTGGGACTTCTACTAACAGTGTTATGACAAGAGTCCTTATCCGAGTAGTAAGACCAGGAGTCATCTTCACTGCAAGTACTGATGGGAGCCATGTATGAGGAGTCTTTGCCTGAATCCTCATTGTCTGACAGCATTTGAGAAACCCTCTCGAACTGTTTTGCTTTCGTGGAAATAGATTTGTCAGCGGGTAGGGCCTCTCCGCAGAGTTGTCCTTTCACCTCTTGGAGAATCTTTTTCATTCTTAGGCCTCTGTTTGATCTCACAGGTCGAGACTGGAAAGACAGTGGCAGTTCAAGTCTTCTTAGACGAACGTGGCACTCTTTGATTAGACAACAAGAACCATCTGTCTGACTTTGAAGATTTACATTTCCGTCATGTTTTGTTGAATCTCCTAAAGGCAACTGTGTTCCATTGTGCTCAGGAGTCCAATCACTTTTACCATCATTGGTCTCACACGTCAGTGATTCCTTTTCCGAATCTGATAAAAATAACAATTCATCCAAAATGCTGCCCTTTGCTTGTGTTTTAAGCGTTTCTGTTTTCTCTACACAGGGAAGGTTTAGAGCTGAAATGATCCACTCACCATCCAGAGAACTATCTGAAAAGACAAAAAAAAGGTGTCATAACAGTGAACAAGAACAGAGCTCAACACCCAAGTGCCATTCATTATTACATTATTGCACACGTCATACTAATCTGAGAACATTGGATTTATTTTTTTGACCACAAAGCAGCAATCTCACAAGCCAAACACACATCATTAAAGTGGACCCATTAAAAATCAGCTCCACATTTTTAATGTCAGACTCTATTAGAGTAGCTTTGCATGGTTCACAGTTCAAAATAATCCTTATTTGTCTTATACTGGTCCTTTGTTTCAGCCTCGCAGTAAATCTGCTATCTGAAACAAGTTGTTTTAGCTACTCAACAGACCTTTAGGGTAACTTTCCTCCGATTAGCTGTCCCTTGCAAACTGCAAGTGGGCGGGGCCTTTAGCGCTCACAGCCAGAGTCATGCGCCTGAGATGGCTAAATCAGGGATACAGAGCTAAGAGTAGAAAATCTGTAACTACTTACCTATATGATCTAGTTGGTTAAGGTGTTTTTGATACTGCAGCAGAGTTTTGAGCTCTTCACACTGAGACACCAACTGCATGCAGTCCTTGAGAGCAGAAGAAGCTTCACCAAACATGGAGGCAACCTTTTAAAAATGAAAAAGAAAGAGCGGCGTACATTTGTTAATCTAGCTTAAAATAGAATTGGGTAATGTTGAGTAGCACTTTTGTGTACCTGCTGGAATGACTGAAGATGAAGAATCTTTTCAAATCTGGATAAAAACAGGCACATCAAAGTGTGAAGTGTTTCATCATATGCAGGACCAAACTCTACAGGGAAAACATTCTGAGAAGCACAAACAAGAAAGCACAACATGAACGTCCGAAACATACAGAAATATCACTGCTGGCGCTTTTAGTAAACTCAAAAATACACCTTTACACATACTAGACTACTTTACCACTACTAGGAAATGAAAGTACTCCAGCTTTGATAATAAAATAATAACACTTATAGGGTATTATTATCTAGGATGCCAAAAAGCAGTGAAAAAACAAATACAGACCTGAAAGAAGTGCTCTCTCTCTTCAGCATCATTCTGCAAGCTCTTTACAAGATCCACAAAGTTTGATTGTGGCAGTTCTACATTAGTACCACCAGCCTGCATAATTCATAATAATAACAATTAATAATGATAATAAGCTGTTTTGGGAATTGAAATTATACTGTCACGATAACAGAAAAAAAACAATGAAATCACCTCCACTAGCCATGCATTGATGAGCACTTGCATCCTGTCCAAGTGTGGCTGGATGATCTCAAAGTCAGCAGGAGCTTCACGCTGGTATAACTCCAGGATCAGCTGAGAGCGCAAAGAAACTGATGTTTAATAGAGTGACATGAACGATCACTATTTCAATTTTCAAGGGGTTGGGCACCTAAATCATCATAAATGAGACTGTAGGGTCCTGAGAGACCTGAGAAAGGATTATTTAACAGTAGTAACCTGCATTGTTTGCCAGCATGCACGGCTTTTATCAGCAATACAAACAGGTAGCACAACCTGTCCCACTCACTTTTGTCATTTCAACCGTTTTCCATAAAAGGAAACGGGTTAGACAGATCAGAGAAGATCCAGAGCAGAAATGAGACTTCCACATGGAAATGTAAAAACAGCACCAACACTGAAATAAGTCCAGAGGGGATCCGCCAAAATTTGTTTTGGTTTTGTGTGGAAGTTTCTAGTCATGCTTGGTATCGTATTTCACCTTAGTGGCTTAATTGCTGAATGGCACAACTAATTAATTATTAATAATCACATTCAGATTGAGGGGACTTTCCCGCTAATGTGTAAATCTTTGCATCACCAAAGCGTGAAGCCAAGTTGCCTCTGATGCCAACACTGAAGCATACGTGTGTGGACGAATTTAAGACTTTGTTTGTTATCTGCACAAGTGCTATATAAATATCAGCCCATTGTCTTTTACCAAATGGAATGCTACTGTGTTGGTGATGGATACGCCGGCACTCTGTACAGGCACGTTGATGTTGAGCGATTCACCACTGTTTTTCTTGGCCTCTGTGTATTCACCATACTGCAATCGGTGAATTCTTTGAGATCCAGACACTGCTCTACACTCTACACTTATTGCAATGGTTCTTGGGTTACATCACTTGATCTAAATGCCCTTAGTCAAGTGTATTCAGGAAACTTCACAATGCGTGGTGCTTTGTGACTGGTATATGCAGACACATCTCCAGGTGGTGATTTAGGGAGTGCTAGATGTTCTTATGTTTTTTGATCATTTAATTACAGGAAGCTAGGAAGTAGATTAATTCTACTTCCTAGCTTGTAATTAAATTAAATGTAATTTAATGTAGTTTAATTACATTTAATAATTAAATGTAATTAAATGATCAATTACAGGACGCTTGCAAGCTTCCTGCAAGCTTAATTACAGGAGCTTGCAGGAAGCTATAAACTAATATATATCTAGTTTATATTAGAGTTATAAACTTTTCCCACAATCTACTTAAAGATTAAAGGTTTGAGAAGTAGAAACATGGCTGTGTTTGGGGCAGAATGCCTGAAAAAAATAATATAGCTGACTGTGGACATTAGATTAGTGGAAATCTGGAGTTTGGACTGTATAATCCAAGTGTGACAATGTTGACTGTGGATACAATGTCTTCTGAGACACAGAGAAGGTGAACAGATGGTATCTTAGTGTGTGGTTCCCAAAAGGAAGGATGTAGGAGGAGTGGTGATGGCCACCCAATCAAATGACCTAGAACCAACTGACATGTCAGAGCACAGAGTGATGGAAAAGCAGCCAACTGTTGGATGTTGGAAATGCTCCAGTCCTCGTGAAGCTGGTTGCCAAAGAATAAGAGAACAAAAGCCGTGCAAAGCTCTTATCGACGTAAAAGACAATTATGACGAAGGCAAAAAAAGTACAAATCCATCAAATCTACCATGACTTCATTTGCAGATGCTGATAAACTCACCCGTGCTCTGAGGCCCAGGCTGAGTTCAGTCCGCTGGCGGCTGGTGAGCAGCTCTGGAAGAATGTCTGTAACCATAGACACAAACTCCTCAAGCATCCCGTAATCAGCTATGACTTTTTGCTGGATGGTCTGCCAGACGGCCGCGGAGACCAACCGAAGTGGTGGGACCAGGAGGCGCAGGGCAGTGAGCGAGAGTGTTGCACCTGAATGTGAACAGAAGTGGGTCATTTTAACATCGGGGATAAATGTTTTATTATCAGTATCCATAAAATGAACCATAACTTAAACCCAGACACCAATATTTGGCTAAACACAGCTGTCCAATTGTTTGTATATTGTTTAGTGGTGACCTTGCTCCAAATGCTGCTCATCGTCTGTTTTGTAAATGAATAACTCATTAAAACTGACTGTTTTGACTATTATTGTTGTTATTATTATTATTATTATTATTATTATTACTACTAAAATATGTCATTTGGCCCATAAACTAGTTCCTGGTTTATTGTGCAAATTTTCTGACAATGAGTTTCATGAACATGGGATTTACTAAACTGCAGGGCTAAAATATTGTTTTGCTCTTTTGCTTTGTGTTCCTTGATCCTTTCATAGCAAAGCAGTCGCATACACATATTTAATAAACTCATATGTATATGGTGGTGTTTAGCCCTATTGCCTAATAGCAAGAAGGAATCCACTGGTCAGTTGAGGCATGTTCTACCCGTTGCCTGCACAATACACAGACATCTGTAGTACTCAGTAGGCTGGCCAGTAATGAACTGTTGACATACCTCGCCTCTGTCAGTGCGCCACAGGATGACTGTGGCTACATTGTAGCTGCCATCACCAGTGTGTGAATGTGTGTGTGAATGTGTGTGTGAATGTGTGGATGACTGGATGTGTAAAGCGCTTTGGGGTCCTTGGGGACTAGTAAAGATGCTATACAAATACAGGCCATTTACCATTTACCATACAACATTAAATCAAATCTATACATCTGTTTGAAATCTACTCACAATTGAAAAATACAACATACTGTAGTCTACTGTTACTTCATGGTCAAATGAGTTTTGCTCAGAGTGTCACATTTAAGAATGCAAGTATTTATAATGCTCATGACAGATGGTAGCATCGCAGCCTCACAGCAAGAAGGTCGTGGGTTCAAATCAACCAGCCAGTTGGGGCCTTTCTATGTTCTCCCCATGGTTGTGTTGGCTCTCTCCTGATACGTCTGCTTCCTCCATCAGTCCAAAGACATCCAAGTGAGGTTAACTGGTGATTCTACAGTAAACTGGCCATAGGTGTGAATTTGAGCGTGATTGCGTGTCCATCTCTCTATGTTAGCCCTGCAATAGATTGGAAACCTGCCCAATGTGTAGTCTGCCTCTCTTCCTATGAAAGCTGGTACATGCTCCATTGTAACCGTTTATAAGTTTGTCGCAAAATTTCCACCACAGTGCATTTAGATTAAGTGAAAAGAACCCACGAAAAACGTCTCCAACATGTTGTTGGCATCAAGAACGGAAGCAGAGACCACTTTAAATGAAAGCGTTCACTTTAATTGAATTCGGTACTACAACCTAACTATACCAAATTCATTTGTAGACAGTGCCTATGTTAGATGTTGCACGTATTTGCATAAAGTGCCTATTTAAGAAAATGCAGGCAGTGTTACTCATAACTGTGCTATTTTTATTCGACTCTAAATCCCCAATATTTTATTACTACTCATCAGCGTTTGTGAAATATCTCCTCCGTTAAAATGCCACATAAGCAGCTTGTTATTCAGACTGTCTGACTAAAAACTTAAAACTCTTTACAGTGATGCTAGGAAAACTTACCTGAAGAGTTAGTAGATTTTCCTTCTGAAATATCATCTTCCATCCTGTTCATCCACTGCACTCGATCGCACACAATCAGAAATTAGCTATAAATATAGAGGGGTGTCCTTTCTTTTCCACTACTTCTCCTTTCTTCGTCAGACACGTTAAAACCGTCACTTGTTATTTATGACAATGACTAAAACCAACGCGACTCAAAAATGGGGGGAAAGAAAAAAGCTTGGTCCGACGACGTTTTTGTTCCGGGTGGCTCAAATCGATGGTTCCGAGCACACTCGTCATATAATCCAGCCCCGTCAACACGTAACAACTAGTGCCGTGTGATACTTCAAAGTCGGGTATTAGTCTGATACCAAGCAAATACAGGGCAAGTTTTGCCGTTACCAATACTGAAAATGATTCTTTTAAACTAAAAAAGGCCACTTATATAGGATAGAGCAGTTATGAAAATGATAATAATCAATTTGCAATTTTTTTCTTCTTTTAATGATCACTAAATCACTATGATTTTTCCTCTACAGTAATTAACAGAACAAAACTCACCCCTCTGCTTTTATTTTCTTTGTTTTTTGGAGACTTATAATTTAAATGTGTCTGTCTCTAAAGCACTTTGAGTTAGCTTCTGTTTTTTAAATGTTCTATAGTCTATAAATAAAAAATAGACGTAAAAATCAGCACAAAAAGGTTAATGCATTTTTTGCTGATTGGTTGGTTAATAAATTCATTAATCTAGCGAATGATTGAGCAAACAGTAGAATCAGCAGTCTGTTCACGCACCACATTTAATGAAAATATGTCTATAAATCTGCAGTTTGGAATAGTGTCATGCTTAAGAATGCATTATTGTCTGCATTTTATTTAAGTTTTTTTTTTAAAAAAACAGTGGTGTAGTGGTTAGCAACTTCCTTCTCCAGTCCAAACACATGGGTTAGGTTGTTATTATTCTAAATTGGCTGTAGGTGTGAATGGTTGTCTGTCTTTATATGTTTTCTCTGCAAACTTATGTCTTGTCTCTGTTGTCTCCATATGTACCCTATAATATAAGTACATACAGGTTTTAGAGCAATTTATGCTCTCATCCAGGTTATTCTTTCAGGGAAGGCCTTAAATTTTTCACCAAGACAATGCATACCAGGATATATGTGTCCAGTCTCCTGGACACATATATGTATCTTCCTTCACTCTATGATAGTAGCCAGCAATCTGCCTTTACCAGTCATAGTCTCTACGTTTAAATGCGTCCTCTCACCTCTACTGCTTTCCTTCTCTCTCACTGCCCCCTAGCATGCCTTCATTCTTTTGTCTTCTGCCAACAGCAGCACAGTTTTGACCAGCAGTGAAAGCACTTGTTGTTAAACCAGGCCTTAACCAATCCGGTAT